CACACTTCACAGACACACACATTTCACAGACACTCACACTTCACAGACACACTCACACTTCACAGACACACTTCACAGACACTCACACTTCACAGACACACACATTTCACACACACACTTCACAGACACTCACACTTCACAGACACACTTCACAGACACACTTCACAGACACACACACTTCACAGACACACTTCACAGACACACACACACTTCACAGACACACACACTTCACAGACACACTTCACAGACACACTTCACAGACACACACACTTCACAGACACACACTTCACAGACACACACATTTCACAAACACACTTCACAGACACACACTTCACAGACACACTTCACAGACACACACATTTCACAAACACACACTTCACAGACACACTCACACTTCACAGACACACACTTCACAGACACACACACACACACACACACACACACGCCCTGTTCCTTCCCCCAGCCTGAGAGTGGGAAGGAGTTCCCTCACCATCTCTAAGAGGGCCAGAGGGGGTGGTTGGAAGAGAGGGTGGAGCAAAAGGGCAGGAGGAGGAACTCCTGGTACACTCTGCCCCCAGAGGAGTGGGGTGAGCTTAGAGCAGGTAGAAGGAGGTAGTCACTCCCCCAGAATATCTGTCATCACAAGCCACAGACTCTGGAAGAAGCAAAGGACAAGACCCCAAGTCTTTCTTCAGCAAACTCACCCTAATTCTTATGGCCAATAAACTTACCTTAGTCCCAAGGGGCCCCAGAGAGGCCCTTATGCCGTGGCCAGAACCTCCGTTCATTACCCGCACCACGGCTCTGGCTTCCCTGAGCGTGGCCTGTGGGCAGTGCTGGGTCGAGTCCGCAGGCCCCCCTTACCGGGCACCAGCTCTGGGGCTCTCCCTGATGGAATGGAGGGGTTAGCCACAGACCCACCCCTCCCTTCACCAGATTGCTGTGTGGGCCCTCTTCCTGAAGGAACTCAGACGCACAGCCTCCTCCTTTCCAGGAGCCATCGGGTAACAGCATTCAAGACATTTATTGAGTATCTACTATGTGCTTCAGAGAGCAGCAAACAAAACAGAAAAAAACTCCCTGTCCTCATGAGCTCTCACTCTAGTGAGGGAGGCAAATAGTAAACAGAATACATAGTCCATCGGGAATGACAGTGGGACAGGGAGTTAGGGAGGCAGGGCAGGAGGGAGAAAACAGATTTGCAAACATAGATGAAGAGTTACTACAGTGCAAGGCGAAACTTTCTTTCTTCCCCTCCCTCCCTCCCTCCCTCCCTCCCTCCCTCCCTCCCTCCCTCCCTCCCTCCCTCCCCCCTCCCTCCCTCCCTCCCTCCCTCCCTCCCTCCCTCCCTCCCTCCCTCCCTCCCTCCCTTCCTTCCTTCCTTCCTTCCTTCCTTCCTTCCTTCCTTCCTTCCTTCCTTCCTTCCTTCCTTCCTTCCTTCCTCTGAAAGACTCTCTGAGCCCCGGCCAGGCCGGGCACTGTATGAGACAGAAGGAACCCAGCGGTGGACCTGGGCCCACCTCCACCTGGAGAGCTCACAGCCGGGTCAGCTCACAGCAGGCAGATAGTGATGGATGTCATAACGAAGGAAAGTGTTGAAGCCCTGGCCAGACAGCTCAGTCGGTTAGAGCGTCATCCCAATACACCAAGGTTGTGGGTTTGATCCACAGTCAGGGCACATACAAGAATCAACCAATGATGGCCGGTGTGGCTCAGTGGTTGAGCATCGACCCATGCACCAAGAGGTTACTGGTTCGATTCCCGGTCAGGACACATGCCCAGGTTGTGGGCCAGATCCCCAGTGGAGGGCATACAGGAGGTGGCCAATCAATGTTCTCTCTCATCAATGTTTCTCTCTCTCTTCTTTCCTCTAAAATCAGTAAAGAAAATATATTAAATATTAAAAAATAAGAATCAACCAATGAATGCATAAATAAGAGAAACAACAAAGATCGATGTTTCTCTCCCCTCTCTGTTTCTCTGTCTCTGAGTGTGTGTGTCTCTATCTCTATCTCTCTCTAAAATCAATAAATAAAAATTTGGGGGGGAAAAGTGTTGGACACTCAAGTGGTCCCAAACTGCGGGGGCATGTCCAGGGAGGCTTCATGGAGGAGGTGGCATTGAACCAGGACTGGAGGCCTAGTAGGACTTTCCCATTGGACAAGGTGTATGCATAGGATCGGGGGGATGCCAAGCAGAGGTAGGAACAGCCTGACGCAGCTGAACGAAGGCAGCTAATGCCCAAAGGTACTGGGCCAGACAGAGGCAGCCTGGTTTGCATTTGGCATGACAACAAGGGTCAGTACTGGACCAGGGAAGTCCCAAGGAGACACTGATGTGAGATGGGAGAAGGGGTTTGCTTGGGGGGAAGAGTCAGGGGGTATCAGATTAGTTCAGTCACAGATGGCTGGTGGTCCCCTTGGCTGAGGAAAGGCGGCTGTGGCTCCTCCTGGCTGGGGAGAGTCACCTCCCTCAGGAGGCGGTGGGAGGGCAAAGGTCCTGAGCCTGGTCCGAGGTCTGCACTGGGAATCAGTCCCAGGCCCAACCTTCATTCTGTGACTGTGGGCAAGTTTCTTGACCTCTGGGCTCCTGCTTCCTCTTCTGGTAGGTGGAGGTCTGCCCAGTCCTGTCTCAGGGCCCGTGTGCAGGTGCTCAGGACTGTTCGCTCTGCTGTCATAGCTCCTCTTGTCTGTCCGTTGAAGAGTGACTGAGACCTCTGCTCTCGCCTCTGAGACACTCAGCCCTCTGGGCACAGTCTCGCCTCTGGACGGCTCCTCTCTGTAGCGGGCCCCCCTTCTTTTCCTCGTTCAGATTCCTCCCACATTGGCCCCAGCTGAGCTGTTTAATTTAATGTTTTTCCTTTATTGCTTTTTGAGAGAGAGGAAAGGAGAGGGGTAGAGAGATAGAAACATCGATGAGAGAGAACATCAATTGTCCATCTCCTGTATGCCCCCTCTGGGCATGTGCCCTGACCGGGAATCGAACTGGTGACCTCTTGGTGCATGGGTCAACGCTGAACCACTGAGCCACACCGGCTGGAGGAACTCTGTTCAATTTAGACCAAGTCCTTCTTCCCCTCCCCGTAAGCTCCTCCTTATTCCAGAGTCAGCTGAGATGTGGGGAGACAGACGGAGGGAAGACGGCCCCAGGGCCAGAGCGGGGAGGACTGGAGACTCCCAGTGGATCTCAGCTCTGTGGTGTCACCTCCTCTGGCTCCTCCTTCATGTTCTCCTGGCTCCACTGCAGGTGACAGAGGGGAGTCGGTCCCATTTACTACAGGTGGGGGTTGTCCTGCGGAAGGAATTACGCAGCTTGTAGTCCCTCTGCAGGAGGACCTGTGGACAGGGCATCTGGGTCCCCAGCTGCGCTGCCCTGGGATCTGTCAGCCAGCCTGACTCCTCTCGGAGGCTCAGCACCAGCCCCTGACCGAACTCTGCCTGTAAGCAGCCCCTTGCCCTCTGCCCTCCCGCCCTCCAGGCACCGTATGTCCACTCTCCTCAGAAGGCATGTCTGCTGCAAGGTCTGGGGGTTGTTTTTTAAAATATTTTTATTGATTTTTTTTTTTTTTAGGGAGAGGGAGAGAGAAACATCGACCGGCTGCCTCCTGCACGCCCCTACAAGGGATCGAGCCTGCAACCCGGGCACATGCCCTGACTGGGCATCGAACCAGCAACCTTTCCGTGCATAGACGACGCCAAATGAACCGAGCCACACCCGCCAGGCTGGGAGTCATTTTTTAAACAGCTTTATTGAAATATGATCCACATACCACACAGTTCACTCATGTAACGCCTTTTGCACATCTTGTACCACCATCGCCACACTCACTTTGAGAGCATTTCCAAGATCGGCCCAAAAAAACCCCACACCCTTTAGCCATTATGTTCCAACTCCATTCTCGTAAGTCCTTGGCAACCCCTCATCTACATCCTGTCTCTACACAGATTGACCTATTCAGGGCATTTTATTTAGTTGGAATCAAACAATATGTGGTCCTTTGGGGGTGTTTTCTTCACTTAGCATCATGTTTTCATCCATGTTGTAGCCTGTGTCAATACTTCACTTATTATTATTAATAGTTATTTTTAATCCTCACTTGAGGATATTTTTCTATTTATCTTCAGATAGAGAGGGAGGGAGAGAGAGAGAAACATCAACATGAGAGGGACACATCACCTGGTTGCCTCCTGCACGACCCCGACCAGGGCTGGGGACAGAAACCGAGGTACATGCCCTTGGCCAGAATCGAACCCGAGACTCATTGGTCTGTGGGCCGACGCTCTATCACTGAGCCAAATTGGGCTTAAATATGTTTTATTGATATTTTTAGAGAGAGAGGAAGGGAGAGAGAGAGAAACATGGATGAGAAACATCAATTGGCTGCCTCCTGCCCGCCCCCTTCTGGGGACAGAGCCTGCAACCTGGGCATGTGCCCTGACAGGGACTCAAACTGGGACCTCTCAGTGCATGGGACGATGCTCAGTCCACTGAGCCACACTGGCTGGGCTATGCCTCACTTATTTTTATTGCTGAAAAATATTCCAGTGGATGTATATTCCTCCTTTTACTTGTTCATTCAACTGATAGGCATTTGTGTTTCCCCCCACTTTTCGGCTATTGTAAACAATGCAGGCTATGAACATTGTGTACAGGATTTTGAATGGACATCTGTTTTCTTTTCTCTTGGTCATATATATACCTAGGGGTGGGATTGCTGGATCACATGGTCGTTCAATGTTTGACTGTCTGAGTACCAATTTCTCCGCCTCCTCACCAACGCTTGTTGTTATCAGCCTTTGACTACAGCCGTGCTCGTGCGTGCGAAGGGGTGTATCATTAGTGCGCACTTGTCTGCTGACTAAAGATGCTGAGCATTTCTTCACGTGATTATTGGGCGTTTATATATCTTCTTCGGAAAAATATTCAGATCTTTCGACCATTTTTAATGGGGTTATTTGTCTTTTTGTTACTAAGTAGAATCGATGTTCATCAATAAGGGAATGGTGGCTCACATAAGCCGCAACCGACTCAAGGCCGAAGGCTTGGGCCAACACCACAACGCCCAGAACTACAGGAACCAGAGCTTTGAGGAGCTGCGAATGCTCTGTCTGAGGAAGAGGGAACTCTTCGAGGACCCTGTATTTCCTGCCGAACCCGCTTCATTGGGCTTCAAGGATCTGGGCCCCAAATCCAAACATGTGCAGAACATCGGCTGGCAACGACCCAGTGTGGGCATCGGGAGGACGTCGTGGGCTCCTGGGGGGAGGGCGGAGTGTAGTGATGCCCCAGTCACTTTGATGATCTCCTGTCCCCTACAGCCCTAGCTCCACCTCCGTCAGGGCTGGGGACACTTCTGGACATGCTTAAGCAAAACCTCTAAGATAACCCCTGGGATAACCCCTGGGAAAGTCACTCACCAACCTTTGCTGTCATAACCTACAACTATGCCCAGCTGGCCCTATACCTTCCCCCCATCCATGTTATCCCCTAGAACTTGGAGGTGGGCATGATTCCCCAGGAAAGGTGGGAGGGGGACGGGTTGGGGTGTCCTGGGCTCCCTGAAACCTTTATTCTTTCACTGCAGGAAATCACAAGCAATCCTCACTTCATCGCCAATGGGGTCAGCCCCACGGACATCTGCCAGGGGGTGCTCGGTGAGTGGCAGCAGGAAAGCTGGCCTCCCCTGGAGGCGGGGATGAATTAGGGAAGAAGGTGGGGGCGGTGCCAAAGTGTCTTTTGAGGTTGGGGAACTGGGACACCTCAGGTTCAGACAACCTCTTCTGTCTCCCGGTCACCCCCGCTCTGAGGAGGTGGTAGTGAGACTGTCCGGTGGCTCGTCCTGCTGCTCCCTTAGTCTGGATTCGCCCCACCGGCTACAGTCTGGAGCTGGGGGCAATCGGGGGTGGTCTGGTAGTTATCGACTGCTACACAGTGAACTACCCCAATACCCAGTGACTTCAAGCAACAGCACACGTGCTATCATCTGACAGTTTGTGCGGGGCAGGAATTCCGAAGCAGTGTAGCTGTGTGGGTCTGGCTCAGGGTCTCTTCTGAGGTCCACTCAGCAGGCCAGTCAGGGCTGCGGGCACCTGAAGGTTCGCCGGGAGCTGGAGGACCCGCTTCCAAGACAGTGCGCGCACATGGTAGCTTCCCCCAGAGGTGACCTCCGCCACACAACAAATCCGCCCCGCTCACGGGGAGGGTAAGGAGGAGAGGAGAGACACAGAACTAGGCACATCTTAAAGCCACTGCCAGAACTTCCCCAGTCTCCAGGAAGTGAGGAGCCCCCCTCAATCCAGCCCCCTCTCCCACAGGTTCCCATGGACAGTCCCAAGAGATATCTTCCTCCCCAAACCTGGTCCTAATCCCCGGTTTCCTCCAAAACGCTCGTTGCATGTTCAGGGATAAGGCGGGGCGGGGGGGGGGGGTCCCTCTGGGGCGGAGTTCTGTCCAGTCTGGCAGAGGAAAGAGCAGGGCAGGGGCCAGGGAGACCTCAGGCCTCCAGGTGCCTCTGAGGCTCACTGGGCTGGAGCAACCCTGGGCTATCCAGCAGAAAACTGGCTTCTCCCTGGGTGCCCTTTGGACAATGGTGGGCTGAAGTGTCCTTAACCTTCCTTTCCCACCCTCCGCCTCCCTCCTGGGTACCTCCGGCAGCCAGCAGGCCATTGGTAATCACAGAAGCGTTCGCAGTGCCCCAGCCTCAACCTGGCCCAGGGTGCTCACGTGGGGCACCACCCGCCCCACAGCCCCAGCCTCCGAGGTCTGAGATCCCAGGAGACATGGCAATGGATGACCTCAGGCTGGGCATATCGCCCCTGTGCCCAGCGCCTGGCCCCAGAGACCCTGGGGTACAGACGGAGCCTCTTGAGTCCAATATTATGTGGGTGACATCAGGGAGAGACGTCGTGATCACTGCACCAGTGTAATCATGGGGCAGAGGTGGGGGCGTGGGGAAGGAGACTGGATTTGTTCAAGGGGTGGGAGATGACTGGCTCCCTCCCGAAGGAAGCAAGTCCCAGAGTGGGGAGCGACACCAAGGCCCCAAATTCCTCCTCCCCAAACCCCCAAACAAAAGCCCCTGGCTCTAATTTGTAAATCCCTCACCTGAAGAAAAGGTGCAGAAGCTCACCCCACGCCCCAGAGCCTGTCCCTTCTGCCCTGCTTCTCCCCGGGGGGCCTGCTGGGGGCGGGGCCACGGAGTCCGCTCCTGCTCCGCAACGGCTGGGATTTGGGGAGGGCTCAGCGGGAAGCTCCTGCCTGTCTTTCCAGGGGACTGCTGGCTGCTGGCTGCCATCGGCTCCCTGACCACGTGCCCCAGACTGCTGTACCGCGTGGTACCCAGGGGGCAGAGCTTCAAAAAGCAATATGCTGGCATCTTCCATTTTCAGGTGAAGGGCGACTGGAAAGCCAGAGCTGCTCTGTGGGGTGTGCGCGTGGCGTGGAAGTATGGAGGCAGGGAGAGGAAAAATTACTACGTGCTTTGAAGTTTCCCTTTTTCTTTCCTTTTTGAAAAATGACATTTATTGGGGTGGGTTTGCCTAATTATCAGAAATATTTGCTCACTAAAGAAATTGTGTAAGGTAATGTTCACCCCCCCAAAAAAATAATTGTTATTGGTTTGTGGGTCTCCTCCTCCTTTCTCTTCCTCTCTCTCTCTCTCTCTCTCTCTTCTTCCTCCCAGTAGATACACACACACACACACACACACACACACACACATACGAATGTGTGTGTATGTATGATATTGGGAGTTTCTGTCGCATAACTTTTGGAATCTCCTCTTTAAATTTAGCAACATGTGGATAAATTCCCCATGTCATAAAATATTTCTGAGAATCACAAGAGTTTTTAAGACCTCAGGAATCCTAAAATCCAACCAAGGTCAAAAGATGAATTGGGTCACCCTGGAGGACATGGCAGGACCTGGAGATGAGGATGGTGGTGAAGTTCATGCTTTTCCTTGTCTCACTATTCAGTCATTCTGGGGGAGTCAGCTCTTTGACACTGGCATGTCGCTGAACCTGGCCACTAGGAGGCGCTCGTGTAACAGAATTCTCATATAAGGAGTGTGTGTGTGTGTGTGTGTGTGTGTGTGTGTGTGTGCGCGCGCGCCGCAGCTTTAGTGTGCTTGTGCTTGGTGGAAAGGGTGGGGGGCAGACAGAAGCCAGATGCCTCATGGCCTTGCTGCCCACAGATTTGGCAATTTGGACAGTGGATGAATGTGGTGGTGGATGACCGGCTACCCACAAAGAATGGCAAGCTGTTGTTCGTGCACTCAGGTGAGGGCACTGAGTTCTGGAGTGCCCTGCTGGAGAAGGCGTATGCCAAGTGAGTGCCCTGAGCCAAGGAATTGGGCTTGTCTCCAAACCTGCCCCACCAGTTGGCAGCTATGAGGACAACTGGAACCAAGGGAAAAGGCGGGGGGGGGGGCATCCTTCCCTTCCCTCACTGTACCCTCTGATGTCCAAGCTCATTTCTCTGTCCCAGAGTCCAAACAGTGTCCTCTCTGTGCCCACAGGCTGAATGGGTCCTATGAAGCACTATCAGGGGGCAACACGGTGGAGGGCTTTGAGGACTTCACAGGGGGCGTGACCCATAGCTTCCAACTCCAGAGGCCCCCTAAGAACCTGCTGAGACTGCTTAGGAAGGCCCTAGCCCGATCCTCTCTCATGGGCTGCTCCATCGAAGTAAGCCATGCTTGGTCCTGCCTCCCCTTTGGACCTGTGAGCCTGTTTGCTTTCACTTAGAAGGTTCTTTCCCCAGATACCCGCATAGCTAGCTCCTTCTCATTCACATTTCATTTCAAATGCCCCTCCCTCAGGTTAGTCTTCCCTGCCCCCAATCTAATTTAGTTGTTCCTACCCCCATTTGCGCTCTACTTTGAAATTACAATATGAAATTCTTACTTATCTACACATTTATTCATAGCCTGTCTTCTCCAGATAGTTTTCACATTCTGTGAAGGCAGTGACCTTACTTGTCTCATTTATTGCCTGACCCTGGGACTTGGGATGACACTTGGTATGCAGTGGCTACTCAACAAATACTTGTTCAGATAAATAAAGGAAGCTAGAGTGCTATCGTGTGACCTGGCAATTGCATCCTTATGCATTTACCCCAGAAAAATGAAGACATGTCCACACAAAAGTTGGAACACAAATGTTTATAGCAGCTTTATTGGTAATAGCCAGAAACTGGAAAAAACTTAGATGTCTTTCAAAAGGTGAATAGTTGAACTGTGGTGCATACACCATGGAGCACTATTCAGCAATTAAAAAAAAAACTAGCCCTGGCCAGGTGGCTCAGCTTGTTAGAGTATTGTTCCTTTACACCAAAAGGTTGGAGGTTCGATTTCCAGTCAGGGCACATACTCAGTTTGCGGATAAAATGCAAGAGGCAACCAATCAATGTTTCTCTCTCCTCTCTCTCTCTCTCTCTCTCTCTCTCTCAAAACAAACTAACAAATTTTTGGATGAGGATTTAAAAAAAACAAAACTGTCCGGCCAGTGTGGCTCAGTGGTTGAGCATCGACCCATGCACCAAGATGTTGCCAGTTCAATTCCCAGTCAGGACACATGCCCAGGTTGTGGTCCAGATTCTCAGTGCGGGGCATGCAGGAGGCGGCCAGTTGATGTTTTCTCTCATTGATGTTTCTATCTCTCTCTCCCTCCCCCTTTCTCTCTCTAAAATCAATAAAGGAAAAAAAATTAATTATTAAAAAAAAAACTAATGACACATGCAATAATTTAGGTGAATCTCAAGAGAATTATGCTGAATGAAATAAGCCAATCCCCAAAGGTTCCATACTATATGATTCTATTTATATGACAGTCTTGAAATGAAAACGTGGAGAACACATCGGCGGTTGTCAGAGATTAGGGGGGAAGGTAGTAAGAAGGGGTCATGAAAGGACAAGAGGGGTGTTTGGGGTGATGAACATCTGTATCATGACTGGTGGTGGATACACGAAACTACACATGTGATGAAAGTATTTAGAATGCACACGTGCGTACTAGTAAGAGTGGGGGAATCTGTATAAAATCGATCAATTGCATCCACACCCACGTCCTGGTTTTGATATTGAGCCGTAGCTTTTCAAGATGTTACAAGTAGGGGAAGCTGGCTGTGGGTGCATGAAACCTCTTGGTATCAAGTTTAATCTTAAAGGAATAACCCCTGTCTTCAGTTCCCCAAGCCCTCTTCCCAGATCCGGAATCCCTTCCTGCCTCTCTGTTCTGTAGGTCACCAGCGAGAGTGAGTTGGAGACCATGACACAGAGCATGCTGGTGAGAGGACACGCCTACTCGGTGACCGGCCTGCAGGACGTGAGTCTGACCACTGCACCCTACCCTGAGGGACAGTGAAGGAACAGAGCTTCCCCCTGCCCCTGCGCCCTTGACCTTTACCCACTCCCCATCCAGATCTTGTTCCAAGGCAAGAAAGAAGCCCTGATTCGCGTTCGGAATCCCTGGGGCCGAGTGGAGTGGAATGGAGCCTGGAGTGACAAGTAGGTGCCCTTGACCAGTGTTCTCAGGTAAGGGGCAGAGCATACAGCAGGCCCATGAACAAGGCCATGCCACAGAGGGACCCATGGGTGCACCAAAATGCACCTCTGCATTCTCCATACAACTCAGGACCCCCAGTAGGCAGGCATTCAGGGGTGAGTGCATGTCCTGGGGAAAAGGGGGGTACTTCCTGCCCCCTCACTGCCTGTCTCTGCTCCAGTGCCAAGGAGTGGGAAGAGGTGTCCCCAGACACCCAGAAGACCCTGCTGCACAGGATGGAGGATGGGGAGTTCTGGTCAGTGTGGCCTGGTGGGCTCTTTTCTCCCCCGAGCCCCACCCCTTGTCTCCCCCCACCCTCCCACCTGTGTGGTGGATGTGGTGGCTCCTGGGAAAGGGGATCCCACGGGTGCGGGTGTGCCGCTGATGGGCTCTAGCACCCACCCCTCCGCCACAGGATGTCCTACGAAGATTTCCTGAATAATTTCACATCCTTGGAGATCTGCAGCCTGATGCCCGACGCCCTCCTGGGGGACTACAGGACCTATTGGCACACTACCTTCTACGAGGGCAGCTGGCGGAGGGGCAGCACGGCAGGGGGCTGCAGGACCCACCTTGGTGGGTGCAGGGAGCTGGGCGGGGCCACTGACTCCCCACACAGCCCTGCCTGGGACCCAGGGTCACAGGGGTCAGGGTCCACGACGAGGTCAGGGGCCCAGAAGATCCTACTGGCTCTGTTGAGGAGGCAGGATGTGGCTGGGGAGCCAGGGCACCCCAGGAAGGGCAGAGCCATCCTGACCTGCTCCCTCCACAGACACATTCTGGACCAACCCCCAGTTCAAAATCTGTCTGCCCGAGGAGGACGATGACCTGGAGGAGGACGAAGAGGTCATCTGCACGTGCATGATAGCCCTGATGCAGAAGAACTGGCGGCAGGCGCGGCCCCAGGGAGCCCAGCTGCACACCATCGGCTTTGTCATGTACACGGTGGGCACCCCCGCTGGTCCCCCGGCCCTCTTCCTTCCTCCCCGGGCCTCCTCTGCAGGCCTACTGCCCACCTGGGAGTGGGACCCTCTCCAACAGGATCCATAGCCCTGGCTCTTTTGGGGGGGGTGCACTATGCTTTTGAGGCAGGCCAGCAGTTTGCTTTGAACAGATTCTTAAACCTAAAACACTTAGGCAGCACATCCTTTGTGCCAGGCACCCTTCCAAAGGCCTGTGAATAGTAACACCTTTTATGAAGAGGAAGGAGGTTGAGATCCAGAGAGGTGAGGTCACTTGCCCAAGATCACACTTCCAAGCGTCAGCCGCAGAACCCGTGTCCTGATTCCCAGAGACTTCTGCACAGGCCCCCCCACCCCCCCCAAGTCTTCCCCAGCTGCTCCTTCAGGAGCACCAACTCCAGCGACCAAGAGAAATCCCTGATGAGTGTTTCCTAAACCACGCTTTGCAAAATCCTAGAAATGGCCATTTGTTCATTGACCTATACGTTCGACAAGTATTTATGGAACACCTACTGTATGCAGGCCCCAGCCCAGGCTCCAGTGGTTCAATAGTGAGAACAACACGCACAAGCCAGGTCCTCCTCCTAGGCCACGAGCCCACCAGTTTCACAGACACACGTCAGGTGGAGACATTTCCAAGGTCAGATGCATCCCTGCAGGAGAGCAAGCTGCTTTCCTTTTTACACATCTGTGGGTGCACAATGCTCAATTCCATAAACCTGTATCGGTTTGCTGCAGCATGTGAGTGTTCCGTGGAAATGTCCATGGTCAGGAAGATGCTCTCGAGATTTTCACACCTGCTCTTTCCATCTGTAGCAGTGTGAATTGGGCAAGTCACCTCACCTCTGGGGGCTTCTGTTCCTGGTTTGAACCTGCAGTGGTGAAAAAAATCTCCTCGCAAAACTTCGGGTAAACTGTACTTTGCTGGCCAAAGCTGAGGGAATATTAACGCTAGGATTTATCAGAGCCTATGCCCCACCCTGTCACCAGTGTCCCAGTGCCCTTAACATGCCCTTGCCAACACACTCGTGCGTGCGTACGCGCACACACACACACACACACACACACATACACACCTCACATGGCTTCCACAAGCCTGAGCCCCTTCACCATCCTGGGAATCTGACCCTCCTCTCTCTTCCCTTCCCAGGTTCCGAAGGAGGTACAGAAGATGCATATGGATGGGCAAAGGGTGGAATTCGGCCAAGGGCTGTGGGGGCCACTGGGTTAGGATTTCAGCCCCGTCAGGCCCTGGGTGGAAGTCAGGGAAAGCAGAGATCACGCCAGGGTCACCGCCAGTTGAGCGGTGTCCAGAACTGGCCAGTTGGTAGAGATGCCCCCACCCCTGCCCAGTCAGGCGTCCGCGTGGAGCCCCTGCCCCCCCGCCCTCCCAGGCCAGCCCTGCACCCACCTGCAGGGCACGTGCAGTTGCAGAACCTCCAGGACACCCACCTGCGGAAGGAGTTCTTCATGAAGTACCAAGACCACGGGTTCTCGGAAATCTTCACCAACTCGCGGGAGGTGAGCAGCCACCTCCAGCTGCCTCCTGGGGAATATATCATCGTCCCCTCCACCTTTGAGCCACACAGGGATGCCGACTTCCTGCTTCGGGTCTTCACAGAGAAGCACAGCGAAACCTGGTGAGGGGCAGGCCCCACCTGCTGCTCCAGGGCCTCCTGCTCCAGGGCCATGAGATGTCAGGCTCAGGGAGCCGTCTTCTGGTCCCCCCAACCCTGTCCCTGTTTTACTGAGGCATGAGGAGGGGAGTCCCAGTTAGTAGCAGAACCAGAACCAGAACCCAGGTGCCAGGAGCCTGTCCCATACTGCTCCGCATCTATGACCTGGCTCCCCTCCCAGCGCCCACCCCCACTGGAACCCCTGTCTCCCTGACCCCTGCTAACCCGAGCTTCACTCACCTTGCCCAGGGAACTGGATGAAACCATCTGTAAGGAGCTACTCCAGGAGGTGAGGGGGGCTTTGGGGGTGGGGGATTGGAGGAAGCCTCTGGGAGTGTGAAGGAACTTTCTGGACGGGGTCCCTTTCCCGTTCCTCTCCCTCCAGGAGAACGTCTCTGAGGATGACATGGACCCAGACTTCAAACGTCTGTTTGAGATTGTGGCAGGAGGAGGGGTGAGAGCTGAGGGCAGGGCGGGGGCTGAACGGAGGCGGTGCGGCAGGGCCGCGCAGGGTTTGACGGCCCCCTTCCCAGGGCAAGGAGATCGGCATGTTCGAGCTACAGAGGCTGCTCAACAAGGTGGTCTGCAGACGTGAGTCTCCCGGGCCCCTCCCCCCAACTGCCCCCCAGCACAGCCTGCCTGACCACTGTCTGTGTCTCCCGCCCCCACTCACTCCTCCTCTTCCTGCCCCTCCCCCCCACAGTCAAGAACTTCAGGACCAAGGGCTTCGGCCTGGACGTGTGCCGCTGCATGATCAACATCATGGATGTATCTTCCCCTCAGAGCTTCCCCGCCCCTGGCCCCGCTCCTCAGCCTGGGCCCCGCCTGGCCGCCTCTCTGGCCAGCCGAGCCCTCCTTCCTGATGGGGTAGCCCTGGGGGAGCAAGCGATGCCAGCCCTTCTGGCTGTTACCACACAAGACTCTCCTGGTCTTGCGCCTCCCCCCGTGAGTCCCTGCTCCCTGGCCCCAGGATGCTCCCGCAGCCCCTTCTCTGATATCCTTGACCAGCTCCCAGAAAGATGGCTCTGGCAAGCTGGGGCTGGGGGAGTTCCAGATCCTGTGGAAAAAAATCAAGAAATGGACGGTAAAGGGCATCGACAGGGCAGTTTGTGGGGGTGAGAAGGGAGGTCCTCCAGAAGGGCGAGGACTAGTAACACTGGAGCTGGAGCTGGGCCCCGGGCTAGACACACACACACACACACACACACACACACACACACCAGGCCAGAGTCTGCCGAAGTGCTGGAGTACGAGCTAGTCAGAATGTCTAACAAGCAGTGTGGCTCAGGTATCAGCCAGCCCACGGGACCATGCAGGGAGTCCTGGCAGGGTGCCAGAAGCACCCTTGGCGTGGCCAGGAATTCACCCCGCAGTCACCAAATGACAGGAACAGTGGGAGCTCGGGATGGGCCGGGGCAGGAGCCCCTGGGGTCTGGGGTAGCAGTGATGAGTCAACTGTACTGAAGCATGTCAGTATTTCAACCACCATGCCATGCACATGGCCCTGCCTCATGGCTGTGTCCCTGCAGGATATCTTCTGGGAATGCGACCAGGACAACTCAGGCACCTTGAACTCCTATGAGATGCGCTTGGCAATTGAGAAAGCAGGTGGCCAGGGGTCAGGAGAGGCCTTTGGGGCAGGGAGGAAGGAGGTAGAGGACAGAGGACTGGACTCTCCTCTGCACACCTCTCTCTCCCAGGCATCAAGGTGAATAACAAGGTGACGCAGGTGTTGGTGGCCAGGTATGCAAATGACGACATGATCATAGATTTCGACGGCTTCATCTGTTGTTTCCTGAGGCTGAAGGCCATGATCAGTGAGTCAGACACCTGCCCGCTCCCCCCAGGCCAGGACCACTGGCCTTCTCCCACATACCGACATGCGGGAAGCTGCTCCAAAGCCTTTCCCCTTACAGAGCACAGATGATCTGGGTTCAAATCCCAGCTCCACCCCTTGCTGGCTCTGTACCTGGAGCGAGTCATTTTATCTTCTGTGCCTTCATTGCCTTGCCTCTAAAATGGGATAATAATGATCCCGCCCTCACAGGATGAAGTACAGATGAAATGAGTTAGTATCTGTATGGAGAGCACTCATAACTGGGCCTGGCTCTAAGCAAGGCTCTGAGTTGTTATCATCACTCTCCTGCTGGGCAGGGAGGTTAGCTGGGGAAGCAGCTTCTTGCACCCTTTCTGATATCCTCGGGAGTTGGGAGTGGCCCTTGCAGATACTTCCACTGACAGCTCTCAACCCTCTCCCCTGCCCCCTCCCCCAAACAGCGTACTTTCTAACTATGGACCCCGAGAATACTGGCCATATTTGCTTGAACCTGAACCAGGTACACGGAGGGGATCCTCTGGTGCCCCCACCCATGGCTCCACCTACCCTCGGCTCTCCCCAGCTGTCCTGCCCCCTCCTCAGATCTGCTTCTTCTCCCCCCACAGTGGCTGCAGATGACCATGTGGGGATAGAGCGGCTGCAGGCACCTGCCTTCCACCACCAACCCGCCGGGGTTCTGGCCCAGGGGGCGGGTGCTCTTTGCAGCGCTCCGCTCTGCAGTCTGTGTTGATGAATGGGCTCCAGATAGCAGCACTTGGGTCCCGGATGCCATGCTGACTCCATCGGCGGACCTCCATGCCCAGCCTCCCAGCTCGGTGTTTCTGTTTTTCCCCAGCCAGACTTCTGGTGGCTGGATTCACCCCACAGCCTCTCTCCCTCTCAGTATGTTTTGTTGAAGACTAAGCGATACTTCCCCAGTGTCCCCTGGCTGAGGGGGTTCTCCACACTCTCTGTCCTGCCTACACCTGCTGCTGACCACGCCGCCTGGCACGGCCTCTCCCTTCTCTCTCTCTCACTCAGGGGCATTAATATAAAAAGCAACGTATGCCACTGGCTTCTGTGTCTCTGTGTCTCCATGCCAGGAAAAGACTGGCAGGGCCGAAAGTCACTTCCCCAGAACCACTTCCCCAGTAGCTCTCAGTCAGGGTGGTACCATCTGCATCCAGGGAGCATTTAAAATGCGTGGTGGTCACCTAAGCTAGCGAGTGCTGTTGGCATTTGTGGGCAATGCCAGGGATGCTTCAAGCACTGCGTTCCCTGTGAACTGCAGGGCACGGTTCCATGGAGCCAGTTCCGAGGGGAGGTCTGAGCCAGGGGCCCACCAGGCTTCTCCCGGGAGCTGAGCAAAGTTAGGGGCCCCCAGCCTCCTGCCGCAGTGAGAGACCCAGACTGCCGCCGCTCAAGGGCACTTCTCCGGTCCTCCCCACCTCTCCGCGGCTTCCAGCCTGGTCCCTCGGCTGGACTGGGGCCTGGGCATGAGAGCTTCTCAGCCTCTGGGATGGGGACAGCCTCCAATTCCCTTCGATTAGAGACCTGTCACCCAAACGAACCGAGCTCCTTCCTGGTCCGTGCGCCTCCAGCTTCCCCACGGGGCTGGCTTCACGTTCCCTCCTGCAGAAGTGCTCAGAGGCTCCCCTCCTTTTGCACTGACCCACCGGCCTCTCTCATGCTTCCTTGGGGGATGGAGTTCCCATCTCCCTTGCTCTGGTGAAAGATACTGCACCGGCCCTGCTGGCACGAGACTAAACCGAGTCTCCCCCCCCAGCTCCCCACCCCCACCATTGCCACCCCCACCCCTGCCTCCCAAAGAATCATTTCCCGCCCTGCCATCCCCACCCCCTCCCTTCCTCTCCCTGGTGTCTTGTCTGAGAGAGAAGGTCACACCTGTGAAGGAGTCTCTTAAAGACCACTTTCCGCCACCCCTACCTTCTGCCACTTTCCCCCACAGAGCAGCTGTCTGAGGAGCGCAGGTGGTGGGAACAATGATCGTTTGGGGAGGCCCGGAAACTGGCAGGTCCTCTGAGCCCTTGAGAGGTCCCAGGCAGCTGCGGTTGATTCTGGGGAGCCCAGCCCCTGTTCTCTGCCCTAGCGCAAGATGCTGCCAACTTCTGGCTGGGTGGCCATGGGCAAGTCCTCTTCCTTCTCTAACGGAGTCAGTCGGTCCTTTCTCATCTGTCCATTAGGGGTGACAGTGCCTATTTCAGAGGGGTCATGGGGACAACTGAGATAACAGAAGTGGAACAGAGTGCTCGGTGTGTGGCACTATGGATGGAAAAGGGGCCACATATGAAACCGGACAAGCTCAAGGAAGGCCCGCACGGCACCCGAGTTCTGCCGGGGAAGGGCCCTAACTCACCCTGCCTGCACCCTGAGCTCGTGCTGGGAGGCCTCAGCTGAGGTCACGTGGCAATCTCGATTTCATCTCTTGACTAACAGCCACTCTCCACAGCTGCTGCCCCACTTCCTCCAGATGCTCTCCACAGCCCCCAGTGTGAGTCCAAGGTGAGGCCACAGCAGAGCAGCCTCTGCAGCTTCTCCCCTCCCCAGAACACATCCATCACTTCGTCCTCGGGTCCCTGAGAAAGCGGTGTCACAGTGCACGGAAAATCTAGCCCTGGCTGGTTTGGCTCAGCGGTTGGAGCGTCAGCCCGCGGACCAGCGAGTCCCAGGTTCAGTTCCCACTAAGGGCACGTATCTCAGCTGCAGTTTGTCCCCGGTCCCAGTTGGGGTCATGTAGGTGGCAGCCGGTCGATGTGTCTCTCTCACATCGATGTTTCTTTCTCTCTCTTCCTCCCTCTCTCCCTCCCGCTCTATCTGAAGATGAATGCACAAATGTGCTCAGGTGAGGATAAAAAGAAATAAATCTTGCCACTTGCAACAACATGGATAGACCTTGAGGGGATTATGCTGGTGAAATAACAGTCAGACAGACAGAGATAAATAGCATATGATCTCACTTATATGTGAAATCCAAACCAAAAAAACCAACAACATACACATACAGAACAAACCGGTGGTTGCCAGAGGCAGAGGTGGGGAATGTGTGAATGTGCTCAAAAGGTACACACTTCCTTCACACAGTAAGTCACGGGGATGGACTGCACAGCGTGGCGACTACAGTTAGCAACGCTGTACTGTGTGTGCGCGAGCTGCCGAGAGAGTGGATCTTAAAAATTCTCGTCACAGGAAAAAATGTGTTGCTATGTATGGTGAAGCATGGTAACGAGACTGACTGTGGTGATCGTTTCTCAATGCATACAAATACCCAATCGTTCTAGGGTCTGTGTACCGCTGTGGCCCCAGTTCTCAGAGCCCCACCCCCAAGAATGTGTGGGTGGCACTGGCAAGCTGACCATGGACTTTGGCATCTGGTTGGCACTTCCTTCCCTTGTTCAATATTAGGTTTTGCTTTGCTGCTTGACATTGATTCCAAAGGTTAAGGAATGTCAATAACATTTTAAAGGACAAATTGAACCCCCTGTTAGGCCACTTCCTGAGGAAGCACACTGTTCTACTGAAACAAAGGTCCCTGGGCTGTTTGGCCTTTGCACCTGAGCATGGTGCGGGGTCAGTGTGTGTATGTAATTTGTTTATTGGGCTGGCTTGGTTTTTTTCTTTAAAAAAAAAAAAAAAATACACCCTTCCGCCCTGGCTGGTTTGGCTCAGCAGTTGGTTTGATTCTGGCCAAGGGCACCCACCTCGGTTGCGGTTCAGTCCCCCGCCCTGGTTGGGGTCATGCAGGAGGCAGCCAGTTGATGTGTCTCTCTCACATCAATGTTTCTCTCTCTCTCTCACCCTCCCACTCTATCTTAAGATAAGTGGAAAAAATATCCTTAGGTGAGGATTTAAAAAAATAAATAAGTACATTCTTCCCTTTCACATTATGGAATTAATTTCTATTTTTGAGACATTGAGTCTCCAAGTGTGAAAACAACCCTCATTCATAAAGTAGATGTTGTTGTAAGCTTGACAGCGGTTGTAAAAGGGATGTGACTTTTTCCATCTTCAGCTTACCTCTTTTTTTAAACATTTTTATTTTTTTATTTTAGACAGGAAGGAAGAGAGAGAAACATCGATTTGTTGCTCCACTTAATGCATTCATTGGTTGATTCTTCTTTTGTTGGTTTGTTTTATCCTCACCCAAGGACATTTTTGCATTTATTTTCAGATAGAGTGGGAGGGAGAAAGGGAGAAAGAGAAAGAGAAACATCGACATGAGAGAGACACATCGAGTGGTTGCCACCCACACGACCCCAACCGGGGCCGGAGACAAACTGCAACCGAGGTACGTGCCCTTAGCGGGAACCGAACCCCGAACTCTGGTTCACTGGCCGACGCTCTAACAGCTGAGCCAAACTGGCCAGGGCTCATTGGTTGATTCTTGTGTGTGCCCTGACCAGAGTTGGAACCTGCAACCTGGGCACATCTGGACAATGCTCTAACCAATCAGGCTACTGGGCCAGGGCCTCTTCATCTTACATCTTTACTAGCAAACTGGTTAGGAGAGCCCCAGGGAGGGGTTGGGGGAGGGGAGGAGGCAATCCTGAATGAATGGTTTTGTTTTTTTTTAATTTATTTTCCTTTATTGATTTTTAGAGAGAGGACGGGAGAGAGAGAGAGAGAAAGACATAGAAACATCAATGAGAGAGAACATCGATTGGCCGCCTCCTGTATGCCCCCCACTGGGGATCGGGCCCACAACCTGGGCATGTGTCCTGACTGGGAATCGAACCAGCGACCTCTTGGTGCAGGGGTCGACACTCAACCACTGAGCCACACCAGCTGGGCTGAATGGACTTTTTGTTGTTGTTTTTGCATGTTTAATATAAAAGTTGTTGTTCCTTAGGAGGTCATGGCCTTTGACTATGCACATAACCTTTGAACTGTGCCTACTAAATGATAGCAGGGGACCTGGAACCCAAGGAATTCTGACTTTCTGGAATTAGAGTAGTAATTCCCAGTCATACTCTGAACTTTATTTTGCTAACATAATTGAGCAACTGTAAATTACTGCTATATTGTTTTAAAACACTAGGATAGTCTAATTCTAACTTGCAATTAATTATGTTTTCCAATTATCTGTTTGAAATGAGTTTGTAGCCCTGGCCGGTTTGGCTCAGCGGTTAGAGCGTCGGCCTGCGGTCCGGAGAGACCCGGGTTCGGTTCCTGCTAAGGGCATGTACCTCGGTTGCAGTTTGTCCCCGGCCCTGGTTGGTCGTGCGGGTGGCAGCCACTTGATGTGTCCCTTTCACATCGATGTTTCTCTCTCTCTTCCTCTCTCCCCCTCCCACTCTACCTGAACAAAAAATAGAAAAATGTCCTCAGGTGAGGATAAAAAAAATAAATAAATGAAATGAGTTTGTATCTGAACAGTTATTGGAACTGTTAAATTGTATATATGTTATATCATGACAGCATTGTACTGTGAAATGAGCTTAATAAAAAACAAAAAGTTGGGCCCTGGCTAGTGTGGCTCAGTTGTTTGAGTCACATCTCTTGCCACTAAAAGGTTGCTGGTTTGATTCCTGGTCAGGGCACATGGGTTTCCGGCTTGATCCCCCCTCCACTGCAGAGCTGGGGGTGGGGGAGTGCACAGGAGGCAGTGGATGGATGTTTCTCTCTCACATCAATGTTTCTCTCTCTCCCTTTCCCTTCTCCTCTAAAATCAAAATACGGCCCTAATCAGTTTGGCTCAGCGGTTAGAGCATCGGCCTGCAGACCAGAGAGTCCTGGGTTCGGTTCCAGCTAAGGGCACGTACCTCGGTTGCAGTTTGTCCCCAGCCCCGGTTGGGGTCGAGTGGGTGGCACCCACTTGATGTGTCCCTTTCATGTTGATGTTTCTCTCTCTCTTCCTCCCTCATTCCCTCCTGCTCTATCTGAAGATAAATGCAAAAATGTCCTTGGGTGAGGATAAAAAATAATAATAATAAAATAAAATAAAGAAAAGAAAAGAAAAATACATATATATTTTTTAAAGTTGAAAAAAACAAATATATCATGTTGTACACCTAAAACTAATATAATGCTATATGTCAATCAATTA